GCATTGGCTCCTGCTAAATTCAAGGTGTTCTGTCACTGATTTTGGTGGGTGCTATTTTAAGCTTGGGATTAGTTCTGGTGCTTGGGATTAGTTCTGGTGCTATTTGTAAAAGTTTAATTCAGACTTTTCTCTAAACAACTGGATAGCTTTGTCACTTGCCCATTACCTTCTGTAGCAGTTTCCCTGTTGCAAAATATATAATCATTATCAATTGTTGTAAAAGAAAAAAAGCACAAGTTTTTGTCTCGTTCTACCCTGCTTGCAGAAACTCCCAGGTAACTTCTGCTTATGTGCCACTGTCAGAATGCAGGGAATTCCAGTTACTCTGATTGTTGAGTGTGTTTCTGGCTGCTCTAGTCTGGATGTTTTTTAGGTAAAAGTACTGTTTGCTGATTGTTATTTTTAATTGCATTCCCTTTTCCCATCCTTGCTGGCCTGGATGGAGAATAAAGATATATGTGGCTTTACAGGAGTGTTGTTCTCATGCTTCTGTTTGACTTTGTGTTAAAATCAGTGCTGTGGGGCAGACATAGTCATTCTATGCTGATAAATGATTAGAATTCATTGTATCTGAAGATCCACCTTAAAGTGTGTCTGAAATTGGTCTAAGTTCTACCCCTTGTTAAACTGTGCCTATCCAGAATTGTCATATATCTCTGGGGCCTGGGTTGTTTTTCCTTCATAGCTCACAAATGAAGACTTTTGATTTCATTTTACTCATACCATACTCACTGGTATCTGTTTAGCTTTAGCCACAAGGATCTGTAGGGGTGGACACACTTCCATACCAAAACAGGAAGTACTTTTAATTCTACAAACATGGTTTGTGTGTCTGTGACTTGGAGCTGCTATTTACAGCTGGGAAGATTCTTACAACCCTTGGGTACTTCAGGGATGTCTCTCATAAGTCAAGAGAATCCACCACTACAGTTCTACAAGGTGTCTAAATATTAAATGTCACCTTTGGATCTCTCCCACATACTCTTATTACACTTACTTGAAATCTTCTTTCTTCTAAGGAGAGATAGATCTTCAGAAAACCCAAACAAAATTCCTAGCTGAGGGTTTGCAGTTTCAGTAAAACAGCTCTTTGAGCCAAAAAGCTACCTGCAGGTGATTCCCTCAAACAATGCTTTTGGTTTGATGCCTGTTGCAAACAGCCAAGGGAAGAGAATTCCTTATGTGGTAGATGTGTGTTGAGGACTTCCCACCTCCAGTGAAGAACATAATGAAGGACACTCAGCTTCCTGCTGTGACAGGGTGAGATGGAGATAGAGGGCCCAGAGAATTAGCTCATTAGCCTTTGCTGTTCTCACTTCTGAGGTGCAAGTTATTAATTTTATAAGATAATGGTTATCAGTGAGAGCCTTCTTTTGAAGATTTTTCCACCAGGCAAAGCACACCTGTGTGACTGCCCATGTATCTCAGGAGGGGGAGAGGAGGTGCTAATTCTGCCTGCTGACTTACCCACCCCATTCAGTTTCTTTGAGGACTGAAACAACAGCATGATTGTGCTTTTATCCACAGCAAGTCCCTTGAATTCACCCTTCTAGTCCCTCTGGCCAGTGCTTTGAATCCTAAGGCCAGGATCCTGCAATTCCTTGCTAGATTATCAGCAGAGGTTGCACCATGGATCCTTGTAACCACCTTGTAACTGCAAACACTAGCTAAGAAAAGCCACTCCAATGTGCTCTTGCACACTGAAGCATGCAATTACATTGCATTACAGAGAGAAAATAAGTATGCACACCCCACTGTGATGGACACAATTTGTCTCAACATTTATGCAACCCCTTTTTGTCTCAGGCAGTGAATTATCTATGGGATCAGTGCCCTCCCTGCTTCTTTCCAAGCACTTGGCAATGTGGAGGCAGTTACATTAATGTGTTTTCATCCCTAGATTAGTCCATGCACATTTATATCCTGAATGGAAAAGGGAACTTAGACAAAAATAAAAAGAAAAAAGTGGGGTTGAATCAAATTCAGGAGGCTAATCCACCTGGAAACACAAATTTTCAATTAATTTGGTGAATTAGAATAGATATAGTGTTTTCTTGTCTTAACTACTAAAGCATGATTTCTCTTCCAACAGGCAGCCACTTAATGATGACGGAAGGTTTGTGGTTGTGTGTTAGGTAAATTATCAGGAGGGTCAAAAAGCCCCCTTAAGCATCCTTCCACATAGCAGGTGAAGTGTGTTTGCATGCAAACAAGCAGTCCAAAGAAACGAGGCTTGAGGGTCTCTCATGTATCCCCCTTGGTCACCCAGTTCCATTAACTTTCACTTCTCCTAATTTCATGTCATTATACAGTAACTGAGGTCTGTCAGAATGCATTAAAATACAGAGAATGCCTGAGTCAGGCCAACAATGCATTTTTCCCTGTGTTAAAAAATGTCCTTGCTTTTAGTGTGCTAAAACCTAAAACCTTACTCCCAGAGTGCAGCAGCTAAAATCTCATGTGGTTCGTATCCATTGAAATTAGCTATGCCATGGATGAATTTGACCTGGAGCCTGTTAAGATACAAATCTTAGATGTGATGTCCTTGTCTTAGGGCTCCTTTTCCCAGCCATTTCTTCCAGGTGGAAACTTAGCTTCACAAGATAAAAAAGAATAACTGCTGTTTTGATAGTATGTTCTGCCTGCAAATAGGATAAACCCCGCCACCTCCCAAGCAACATGTTCCCCTAGAGCATGGTTTATTACAAGTTCCTCCAGCAGTAAGGTATATTAAGACCAATATACTTGAAGGTGCCTTTGACTGTCTTCATACATATGCCGAATACTTTCTGTTTCTACAGTGATAAGGTAAGAAAATCAATTATTTCTACTACAAAATACCAGCAAGCTGGCTCATTAGGATATAACACAAATATAGCTTAATTTATTCTAGCCTGATTATCTGAATAACCTGCAGTTGTGATCTGATCACCCCAAATATCATAAATAAATTGAATGGCTTTTGTAGTGTCAGTGCTGGGCATGAATCCAACAGCTCCTGGGGTAGTCAGCCTAAGGAGAACATGCCTTTTATTCAGTCCTTCTTTCTAAAATACATTCTTATCCTGAAGTATGGAAGTGTCAGTTTCTAATGATGTATTTAAATTGTATTTGTAGTGAAGTGCCCTTAGAATTACAGGCAATTACTAGAATATCCTTCCATGATAATGGAGATTTTCCTTAACACTTTATCCATGTAAAAATGGCATACAGAATTAATAAACACAAGCAATTTTAACCTTCATCAATTTATTCAAATGAGCTCCTCTGTGACCTAAGAAAGGAGCAGAAGTAATTTGTAGTATCTGCATGTAGTAAAGAAAAAAGTGAAATGTTTAATATAATGAGCAGTATCATCCCAAGGCACACGTAGTGTCATTGCTAAATGGTACCTCAGTTCACCCCAAATATGTGTTGGTAGAGCTGCCTTCAGTGACTCACAGTGATTATAACACCGGCTTCTCTCTAATGTGATTAAACACCACTGGAGTGATGGACTCTAGTATCGAAACAGGCTCCAAGGCAAAAGTTTCGTGTCATGGTGGTGACTTCAGCCAGCCCCATGATTACAGCAGGATTGCTCTGAGACTCCAGTTTCACCCTAAAACCAAGTGTGTTTTGATGGCTAAATTTGCCATTTATTTCAATAGAAGGTTATAAAAAATTTAATGTCTGTCTTGAATGTCTAGGACAAAAAAACCTGCAGAAATCATTGTCGTCTTGATGACTCCCTTCCAAGGAATTTCTGCATAAAATAACTGACAGAAAATTTGAAATTATTATTCCCCTACCTCTACATCTGACACTGTCACATATCTGCTAGTGTAATGGGTTAGCATCCATTAACACAAATAGAAACCAAACGTAATCCCTTCTTTCCTCTCAAATATAAACTCCATCTTTCACATTGCTGCTTTGTCCCCCAAAGCTGTACAAGCTGGAAACTCACAAGAATTAAAATATTTAAAACATGACGTCCCCTCCTCAATGCTACAATGCTTCATTTTGAAAGTGCAATTAAAGCAAATATTTTTCAAAAGATCTCAAATTTTATTCTTTCAGTCTGATTTCAATCTGCTTCCAGGTGCAGGCAAATAGCTAGAAATTTAAAATGGGATCCACTCAGCTCAGAAAGAGCCTTGTTTGGCAGCTGAAGACTCCTCACCCTTCCCACAGTTGAATGGATAAGGAACAAAATCCTGTGCTGTGAGGATTAAATTAGATTATTAGCCAGCGCATGTGCGTATGTGCATGCAAACATACACGATGCATCTGCTAAGCAAATCCTTCATGCAGTGAATTATCCCAGCTAGCTGGTCCTGAACAATCTGCTGCATGAAAGCGCTTTCCAGAGACCCTGCAAACACAGCTGGATTGCTAATGGCTGCCAACAAAGGCACTGCACAGGCAGCAGTGTGCTAAAGACTGCAAAACAAAAGGGCACGTGGAGAACAAGATGGATGAGATTCTGCTTCTGCGACAACCCCTTCTGAAACAGCAGCAACCATTTGGCACTTACAACCTCTTAATAAAAAACTGGCTTTCACTTTTATCCAAACACTATTGGATACTCTTTTGCTGGGCTGTTGCCTTCCCCAAAGCAAGTACAACTGACATGATCTCTCTGGTCTTCTCTAGGAACCCAGGTGCTCTGGAGCTCAGTTGAGCCCAACTATTTGTTTGAAAGAGAATCAGTCTCTACATGGCAGATAGTCCTATAAAATGTAACAAACAAATAATTCGTTGTAACAGATTTAACAACTAATCCGGAAAGGTCTGCTAAAGGTCTGTTTCCAGTGATGCCTGGGGCTTTTCACTTACTTAGCAACAGGAAATTTTCACCTCTCCTGATACCAGGCTGAGTGGCCCTTGCCTCACTGCCTGCAGAAATCCTTTGGCTAATCCATGGATTTAGAACTCGTGAAGCAATCCTAAACAGAAATACAGATTTTAGATGTAGGAAGAAATTTTTTTAATCTATCTCCCCAAAAGGGAAAATTTAAGAGCATATGTTTCTTTGCTGCTGTTATTGCCCAGTTTCTGCCAGACTCGTGCAGAAATTCCCCTGCAGTTGGGCAGCGCTTGCTGGGTGACGCTCCCTACGCCTGCGGGCTGCAGAGCTGCCTCCGCCTGGTGTCTGGGGTCACGTTGCCCTCCAGTGGCTGAACTGAAAAACGGGGATAAAAAGCCACTGCAGTACTTTTCTCTGCTTTAGAAATGCATCCAGAGAGGTCTACGCACCACGAAATTGCAATGGAAATACTAAGAGTTTAGTCATGCTAATTATTAATATATGAATGTAAAACTAATCCTGTCCTCCCTTCCTGTTCCTTGTAGGTATGCAATCTGGAACAATCTTCATCCTCACGAGTTCATGCTGCTCTTTCTCTGGCTTGCCAGGCTTATATAGTGGGCCACAGGAGGATGTTTAATGAGAATCAAATACAACATTTTGGTTTGTCTTTATAGAGTGTGGTCAAACCCTATTTTCACAAATTGCACAAAGCAACCTCTCAATAATACATGTCACTGTAACGTATCTTCTCAAAAAATACTTTTGGGGTATTTTTTTCCAATAGCATGGGATGCAAATTCTGATAAACTAATATGTGGCAACAAAGGCACAATATTTTAAAAGATACAAAAATCTAAGAAAGCTCAGTGCCCCTCTGAGCTGCCCCTTGCAGCTGATTTTTTTTAACATTTAGCAAAACGAGGCATTTTCTGTTTAGAAAGTGAAGCTCCATTCACAAACACCTGTGAGTGCTCAACATTTAAGCAGATCTGACTTATCCCAAACTGAGCACTAAGAAAATGTGATTCACACAGCCAGTGCTTACTGGTGAGAGACTTGGTTCAAGTGATATGTAAATCAGATTACAGGCAATCTGCTGAACAGAACCAGAGTTTAATTCTTAAAGTGCCATTTAGTTACCATAATCATAAGAATTTCCTCTTTCACACTCTGTCTTCCAATTTTTGTAACAAATGAGACAGAAGTCTCGTGGCTCCTTCAGTACACAGCTCTAACTTTATCCCAATACGTATTGAAATAGACTGTGACATTGCCAAACAAAAAGTACCAGGTCCTGTAGTTGAATCTGTATCACAGTGTAGAGAAATACTTGGTTAAGGTTGGAAAAGAAACTTTAATGTCAGAAATTCCTGTAATTTTGGAGCTGGACTTTTGCAACTTTATTGTTCTCTTTACTTCTTACAGAAAAACAAATAAAATGAAATTACATTGAATGGACTCCTCCTGTCTGTTACATGAGATTCAGCTGGGATGAAGCCTTTGGATGCACAGCATATGCTTCTGCCTTTTGAGCTAATTAAATAATTGACAGCTGTGGAAGACTGTCCATTTACAAAGGTCATCTGCAATCAGGCAGCAACACAATTAACATCAACAGCAAAAAGTGATTAGAGATAAAACAGGAAATGTCAGAGTGCGTTTAAACAGTGGAGATGTTTTCATACCAGCTGAGCCAGGTGAATTCCATCCAAGGCGAATATACAACTGGGCAAAGCAAGTTTTACTGATTTCCCTTGAAAATCATGTGTGAGATTACAAATATATCATCTACTTTGGAAGGGGATGAGAGAGGGCAAAGATGTCAGGGAGTTAGAGATTCTTTGTGTTCAGATAGTGGAAAGCAGTACAGTAAATAATTAAACCTTTAGTAAGTTCTCAACATAATAAGTAAAAGGAAAACCAGGGAGGGGGGTAGTTAAGGACAAATACTGTTAAAATGTCCTCCCACCTTCTTTATTTTCTTATTCCTTTAGTAAGGCTTTGATGTTGTTTTAAATGCCATTCTCCTGCGCAAGCTTGGAAGTGTTGTGCATTTTGGTGTACGACAAAATAGCTGCAAAAGCAGGTAGAGTGATCTATCTTAAGCTGTGCCTTAAGAAGTGGTTATTCCCAGGACTGGCTACCTTGGGATGTGCAGTGTCCTTTCATGACCTGGATGAAGACAAAATAGTTCTTATGAAATCTGGAATTTCACCAAAATGAGGGGGATGTAAAGCACCATGGCTGAGAAGATTAGAGCTAAAAAAAATATCACTGCAATTTCATAAATGGATTGAAAGAGGAAAGAAACCAGGATTCAACTTGTTAGACATATGTGTCGTTCAGTTCATTTGGAATAAAAAACAGCAGGTGGAAGAACTACTGGATGGGCAGCAATTCTGCAGGACAGTACATGCAGGCTACAGAAGAGTGTGATTCTCAAGTGTGACTCCATGATAGTGTGAAAAAGGTAAAAAACACATGGGGGAAAATGGGCTGTAAACACTGTTGGCCTGTGATTCTATGCTTTCCCTCTGTGGCACTTGATAAGGCCTCTGCTAGCGTATGATAGCCAGTGGAAGGGTTTTTTTTTCTGCCTGAGAAATGTGTAATCACTGCATAATCTGGAGAAGGGAAAGGGATGGAAAAGAGGAAGCTGTAAATTCAGCAGCTGGGGCGGGGGGCAGTGAGGAGGAAAAGCAACCGTGACACCCTTGTGAGAGAAGAACAGCAAACATGGAGCCTTTGTCTCAGCTCCATGAAGAAGGATTTGAAGAGACATTTCTCCTCTGCAGTGCTATAGGATTAGGAGTTCTGGGTGTGCTGCTTTGAAGTAGTTTATCGGTGTGATCCACCCATTTGCCACTATTCAGGAGCCCCTGAGCTGGAATGTGCATGGCAGGACACACCTCGAGTCAATATACTCTCCTATGTTTTTCTTTTGTGTCTTCAGGCAATGTTGGATGGTGTGGTATAATCTTTCCTGTTTTGCTAATTTTCCTATTGCAGTAAAATCTTTGTTTCCCAAGAAGCTCATTTCTTAGCATTACATGAACTAAACTGAAAATGGACAGAGCGTGTAGACCAAGAGGTAAAAACTGTTAAATCTCCCAAATTATTTTTTAGAAGTTATTTTTCACTATATTAAAGGCACAGTTTTTTAATGGGCCAAATGTTTTTGAGTCACTAACACAGAACAAGCCCTATGGACTTACAGCTGAACCTCAAAGCCAAAAGACGAGTTTTGCTTTAGAGAGTGGATCTTTGAGATTTTTTCCCTGCAGGTACTCTGAGTTAGGCTTGCATCCCTTGGGAAGTGCCATCAGAAATACCTAATATATACCAGTGTTAGTCTGCACCACAGTTTTGGCATGTGCTTTCAAGCAGGTGTTTGGAAAAGCCTCTTGGGAGAAGACAACTGCACACCTCACAAAGCCCAGCATAGGGGGATGCTAACAGATTTGCTTCCAAGCTCTGCTTTGTTTTGGATGCCAATTTCCCATCTACTTTGTCTTCCAGCTTTCTGCCAAGCTTGTGCTGGTGGAAATACAAGACTGATTGGTGTCACAGTGTGTTTGCCCTGCTTTGTTTATCTGTAGAAAATTCAGTTCATAATTCCTCAGTTTGCAGTTAGCACCCACTTTTATGTATCATCCCAGGCAAATAATAGGTAATGATTGCAAAGTTATTTCTATTTTTCTGTAGAAAATTCTGCTTCAAATAAAACCATTGGGCTAGATCCCAGATGGCAATGGTATTCATCTTTCTACCAGGCATTTATCCAAAGTTTTACCCTGTGGGTAAAGAGGGAGAAAGGCCAAGTCATCTTGCTACTTTTACATTTAAGTCATTTACATTTGCTCAGAGATGCCATAAGCAGCTGGGTCTCAGCTATAGCTCTCTTGGTAATACATTCCTTCTCGTAAAAAAACAGGGAAGCCATTTTCCTAGCTGCCTTGTAAAAGCATTGAATGAAGTTAAGCACAAAGCAGACCATTCATTGCTGCTTCCCAAGAGTGTGCTTATTTAATCCAGGCTTGGTTTTGAGGTAGGGAATTAACCAAAAAAGGAACGAGCAGAGAAATGAGTGAGAACCTCACAGACAGAGAGGTGGGACTCACTTTGGTGTGAATGAGATTATAGCTGATCACCCTGGATCCTGAGTCCTCTAAGATGTCACATATTTATTATTTATACCCAGAGACTGACATTCTGTACAATAGAAATGGACAATTAATCACAGACTTTTCTTTTTTTTTGCACACTTTCATAAGCAAAGATCCTCAAATCTTCATCCAGGCTAACAAAGCCCCAGTGTGCCCAGATGGAGTTGATTAGTCAGATCTGATGATTACCAATAAGGGAGCTCTGTTCAGACTTGCAAAGGAAAAAGGAAATGTGGATTAAGATTTGTTTCAGGAATTATTAATCAATTTTCCTTTGATGGGTGGAAACAGCTCTGAAGAAACCTGGCAGCATGAAGGTGTGAAGTGGAAATGTTTAGGTTTATTGTTTGTGTATTTTGCCAGGGAGCTAAAAGCCCCCAGTTATGTCAGACTAATAGCTAAAGGATAGGAATATCACAGATGGAGTTTCATGGTTATAGGTGTCTTTAGTTTTACTCAGACTTTGTAAGGAAATCAGATGCTGCTGCCTGGGCTGGGCATACAAACCTCCTGCAATCAGAGGTTCACCATTCTGGCCCAAATTTGGTTTCCCTGACTAATGTTTTCTATTACAGCTCTAGTTGCAAGAGCTTGGACCAAAGCCTGGGATTCAGTTTTCATGTCAAATCTAGGATTCAGAGAGAAGGACTTTATGTCAGTATTCTGTTCCAGCAGTCAGGGCTGGGGTTTTACTTTCCAACCCTAGCATAAATATAAAATGTTCATTGATCATGATGCCTTGCAAGATGTTCTTCTTCTGGTGTGTGAAAAGCTATTGCTGATGAAATTGATGAGTTGTTGTTTCTCTGTTCTTCCCTCATTTGTGTGCTACATCTCCTGTCTCATGCCTAGAATTCAAGCTATGTTGGAAATCAGCTGGAGTGGGGTTTGCCTGGTCGTGAGCCCAAGGCAGGGCTTCTGGACTAAGATAATATCAGGAATAACAATAATGATAGTAAGCAGCCTGATTTCCTTGGCTGATTAATCTGAAATCTCCTTAGAGACATTCAAGAAGACAATGCAAGATTTTCTCTGGCAGTAACTGACTGGGGTTTTTTGTCTACCAGTTTCCCCTAAAATGTTTGTCACTTTGCCAAGCTGCTCTGTTCCTTTGATATGCAAAGTGCTTTGAAGAGAGAATCCCTCAATTACCAGTATTCCCAAGGCATGGCAATGTAGTAAGGAGGAAAAGGGGATTTTTGTCTTCAGACATCACTCAGTATGAAAAGGAAACACTTGTATTTGTAGGGTCGTCTTCTGGTACAAGATTTTTGAAGTGTTCGTGTGAGATTTACTCTTTTGTAGATATACTAGTATCACCACTTCAAGCTCTGTTTTGAGAATAATTATAGATAATATGTGGATTTTGAGATATACCTAGAAGTGAAAGACACTGGTAATAGTATCCTCAAAGGATACAGGGAAGGCAATGCAGAACAAGTACTCAACACATGTGATGAAATACTTGCATTCTCATACATCTTTAATGATTTAATAGCCAATGGGCACTAAGATATTCCTGCCATAGCACCTATTTTACTAGGACTCCTTAAAATCAGTAGGGTTCCAGTTAGACCAAACAGCTTGGATGTAGCATGGTTCAGAAAATCTATCTGTTGTTCATGGTGGGAGAAAACTAGTGTTGTGCCAGTATTTAATGAAGCAATCCTGATTCCTGGGCAGAATGCAACTTTGGGGATGCTCCAGACAGCTGAAATCCCTGTGCTAGTGATGAAGGGAAATGGCTGCTCCCCATAGGCTGTGTCCTGTGGGACTCATGAAGAGGAGGCTGGATAGCCCTGGAGACAGCCCCTCTGGGGAGATGTGCTGGGTTTGGCTGGGATAGAGTTAATTTTCTTCACAGCAGTTGGTATGGGGATCTGTTTTGGGTTTGTGCTGTACACAGGGTTCATAATAAAGAGATATTTTTGTTATTGCTGAGCAGGGCTTACAGAGCCAAGGCCTTTTCTGCTTTTTGTATAGCCATGTTTGCAAGAGAGTTCGAGGTGACACGGTTGGGGCAGGTGACCCCAGCTGCCCAAAGTGATATTACAGACCATATAACATCATAGTATAAATCTCCTCATAAAGAGGAGAGGAGGAGGAGGAAGGGGGGGTATTTGGAGTGATGGAGTTTGTCTTCCCAAGTCACCATTACAGCTGATGGGGCCCTGCTCTCCTGGAGATGGCTGAACACCTGCCTGCCCTGGGGAAGCAGTGAATTAATGCCTTGGTTTGCTTTACTTGTGTACATGGCTCTTGCTTTTTCTTATTAAACTGTCGTCATGTCACTCGAATCTCAAAACCACCTTTAACCGTTCCGATTGTCTCCCCAGCACGGCTGGTGTGGGGTGTGAGCAGCCGTGTGGGGCTGGGCTGGCACCGGGGTCACAGGGCCACGGGTGAGGGATGGGGGAACCGGGAGGTGCTCTAGGACAGGAGAGGGCACAAGAGCCTCTGACACTTGCCCCGCGACTGCCTCTTCTCAGGGACCCCCGTGCATCCACCTCGGGCTTGTCCTCGGCTACGCTCTGATCACATTTTGGCCAAAACGAAAACCACACCTGCGAGATGTGGCACTTTGAGGGAGGGCTGGGGAAAGCCCTGAGGAGAAAGATGCGAGGAACACTCGACATCTCCCTCCCCTCTCCCATAGCCGGCCGTACCCAGCTCAGCTTCCCGCTCAGCAGGTCCCGAACCGGGGCACTGCCGGGAGCGGCCCCGCCCGGGCCCCCGCCC